TATAATAAATGAAAAGTCTCATTGGGTGTGCTCGAAATGTGCTACACCTTCTAGTTCGAGTTGTGCACCTATTACTGCTGAAAACTTGGAGGAAATTATTAAATCGCAACTGATGACTATTAAGCTTGAGCTTAAACAAACCATTGAAGATAATTTTAAAATAATTAAGGATAGATTATCTGCAGTTGAAGAAAATGTACGCTTGATTCAAGACGAGTGGGCAGAATTTAAAAAATCCAACAGAAAAATGGATAATCCTTTGGACTTTATTACTGTTGTATCAGAAATTGAAGAGCGTAAGTCGCGGAGTACTAACGTTTTGCTGTTCAATGTAAGTTTAGTGAATCTATTTCATCGAATTCAGAAGAAAAGTTTCAGGATGATCTTTTGCAAGTAAATTCTATTGTTACGCCTTTAGGTCCTTTTCCGCAGCCTAAGAAAATCATTCGTGTTGGTATGCCTAAGCCTAATGTAATTCACCCTTTAAAGATCGTCTATGAAAACGAAGAAATAGCTAATGAAGTTCTACGATCAAATAAGAATAATAATAATTGTAATCACCACTTCCGGCCTGATTTGACAAAAATGCAGCGAGATTATAATTATTCAAAAATTTAAGGATAAGGTTGCACAAGGAAATACTAACGTTATGTTGAGGTATAAAAACAATATGCCATATATTGTGGAAAAACATATTTTTCGGGTTACTCATCCAAAAAAGTAATTAGTTTTTATTACGAAAACGCTGACGTTCTTATTATTTCTGAAACTTGGCTTAGTGATAACATTACTAGTTCTGAATTAAATTTAAACAACTATAATATATTTAGGGCCGATCGAAATGTTAATACTAGTACTAAAATACGTGGAGGATATTGATAGCAGTAAAAAAGGAATTGGAATCTTCGGTAATTCTTCTTGGAAACTTTATCGAAAGTATTTACATCCATGTGAAATATAATGATTTAAACTTAATCCCTCCTGCAAGTTATTTTACTTCTTCTATCTTCTATCAAGACTTAGAATCAATTTTTGATCGTTTTCCTGGGTCGTCCTATGTTATTGCTGGTGACTTTAACTTACCACATATTGATTGGAATGATGATGGTGATTGTGGTCTCAACAGTTCTCTTGAATATGATTTAATTAGTTCTACATGTGCTCTAATGAATTTGATGCAAATTAATAAAATTCCTAATATGAGAAATGTATTCCTAGATCTTGTATTTTCTAACGTTGATAATCTTGATGTCTGCTATGCATTAGATCCCATATTTCCTAGTAGTTGTCATCATTCTCCTTATTCTTGGTCTCTTTCCTGTTTATCTGCACCTTCTTTGAAATCTGATTTTCGTATTTTTGATTTTATTAATGGTAACTATGAACTTTTAAACCATTTTACGCATCTGTTTGCTGGGAGTCGTGTTTGGTGGGTCAAAATCTTGACGAAAAAGTTGCTACCTTTTATGATATTTTATTTTATGGCATAGAGAAATTTATTCCTTAGAAAGTGATCAATCGCAAAACTGGTAAATATCCTTATTGGTTTAATAAAGAACTTAAAGAATTATGTCGGTTGAAAACAACAGCTCATTGCACATTTAAAAACACCGGTAAAGTTGATGACTACCTTTATTTTAAATCTTTGAGAGATCGGTGTAATGAACTCATTGAAAAGGAATATGCTGAATACATCTCAAACGTCAATCGTAGTATGGTGAGTAATCCGAAATTGTTATGGAAATTTATTAATAGTAAAATACATGGAGAATCTAATATCCCTAACGAAATGAATTTTGGATAGCAATGTGTTAAAGGTGGGGAAGAGATAGCCAATGCTTTTGCTCAATATTTTGCATCTGTTTACGTTAAAGATGTTTCCAAGACATTTGTTTGTGATTGCAAATCCAACTACGATGTAAATGATATGGGTCTAAAGATTTGTTTGTCTGATATTTTCGATGAAATTTCTAAATTGAAATCTTCCTGCACTCCAGGTCCTGACGGTATCTCAAGTATTCTTATAAAAAACTGTAAGTTTGCTCTTTGTTCGCCACTGTTTTTGTTATTTGCAACCTCTTTGAGGGATGGTATTTTCTCTAAAATGTGGAACAGCTACATTATGCCCATTTTTAAATCTGGTAAACGTAACGTAGTTGAAAATTACAGAGGTGTATGTTGTCAATCAGCAATTCCAAAATTACTTGATTCCATTGTAACTAGGCAACTTTAATGAGTTTCACATTGTAGAATCTCCTTGAATATCGATAATTTATAAACGAAGCATTGGTTAATCATTTGCAAGTGGATTCAGTGTATACTGATTTCGCAAAAGCGTTCGACCGCGTTAATCATAAACTATTACTTTTAAAGCTGGATAAACTTGGTTTCAAAGATAAAACTATTAAGTGGTTAGCATCTTTTCTGTCAGGCAGGTGCCAGCAAGTTCGCATTGATAACTTTATTTCATCGTCTTTCTCTGTTCCAGCTGGTGTTCCGCAAGGTACTCATTGCGGACCCGTTCTATTTCTATTATTCATAAATGATTTAACGCAGTGTTTACGATATTCAAATTATTTGTTGTACGCGGACGATCTAAAGATTTTTAAAGTCATTCGAGATACACAAGATTTAGAACATGTACAATTAGATCTTGACATGTTCTTTGAGTGGTGCAATAACAACTTACTCCTTTAAATTTAGATAAATGTTATATTATGTCAACTTTTAACATAAAATCTAACATCAGTTTTAAGTACCAACTGAATAAGCGTTGTATTAAACGTGTGACTCAGATTAAGGATTTAGAAGTAATCTTCGACTCACCATTTTCGTTTAAAAGTCATTAATCCTATATATCCAAAAAAGCTTTGAACATGTGGGGGTTTATTTGACGAAATTGTCATGAGCCTTTACCTTTGGTCCTCAAAAGTTTATATGTCTCCTTAGTTCGGACACACTTAGATTATTGTTCACCTGTTTGGTCACCTTTAAATAATGTTGATCGGGAGTTGCTAGAAAATGCTCAGAAAAAATTTTTGAGAGCTCTCGAGTTTAAAGTTGGCTCCAAACATATTAAAGGCGATTACATTTGGATTCAACGTCATTTTAATATACAACTCTATATATTCGATGATATATAACGGATGCTTGTGTTCTGCACGGGATAATAAATGGTCGTATTGACAATCCATCGCTGCTATCAAGACTATTCTTCTTGTACCCTGCCGTCAACAGCCGCACAGCTAGAAGTAAGGATATTTTTAGGGTAGCACCATCGACGTCGAATATAGGTCGTAATCATCCTTTACATAGAATGATGCTAGCTGCAAATGACTATTCGAGTAACATCAATATATCGATGTTTGATTCTCCTTTGAACAAATTTAAATTCAAAATTTCGATATTTTATAGCAGTAGATTTTAGTTCTTTATTTATTAGTTCATTATTTATTGCTTTCATATTAGTAACCGCCAAGCCAAAAATATTTTGTTTTGAATTTACTTATTAGGGAACACTCTGTTACAATGTGTACTATTTAGTTAATTTAGTTTAATAATTCATAATGTAAATTGGAGATTCCGTTACAAATAAATTAAATTAAATTAAATACAATCTTTCAGCAAAAACGCTGGTATGTTGTCAGGGCCACGTGTGAAGTTGGAGTTAAGCGGTATGGTATCACATACATTTGGTTCATCACAGGTATTATCACAGACGAAGATAGAACTGAAGTGCATCGCAAAACTATCAACACTATCTTGAGGAGAGTTAAGCATGGCGTGTCTGAAAGACATTACTCCAGGAATACTTGTACACTTTTTCTTTAAATTAATGTAGGCCCACAAATTTTTTGGGTTTGTCTTAAAGTGTCGTTAAATCTGGCCACAATTCGCCATATGTGTGTCTTCAAAGATTCTTCGTCGATGACAACAGGATATTTCACCAGATACTTGTCTTTACACGCATCCACAGAGTACACCCAGTCCCCATCCTCATTTAACACCCCATTACGGTCATACGACATGATCATGAATGTGTTTTGATCCAAAGATTAACCCATCCTAACCTAAAAAAGTCATTTGTAACACTGACCATTGTCATTCCTCTGTGTTCATTACCTGAGATTATTCTACAATAATCTGAAGTTTTGATAAAACTGACTTAAAGTTCGAACAATGAGGAAGATAGCAAATGAAAACAACAAGACGAAAAAATTATTAACAATCGACACAATCTGATGAAGCGTTAAAAATAAAAATTCCAATATTAGTGTAATCGTTTCCACAAAACTTCTTTGACTACAATATTTTATGATGACCCTGTATAATAAACACATCTCTTGTGTTTTTAAAATCGCCGTATTCCAAATAATGTTTGTTGCTCATTTATAACCGATGGTTTATTTATTCGCCGCAAAGGCACTTTATTAAATTTTAGCCCAGTGTGCCTTAGTCTTGATATACACTTTAAACAAACAGCAAGCCGCTTTCGGTTTTCGAAAGGGATACAGATAATAGGTTACTAAAACAGAAAATGGCTATTGATTTAAGATTCAATTTACGAAACGGAAGAAAAAGTAGCTTCTAGGTGCTATTAAGTTACGATATACGCATTTTATCAGTAAAAGATAGAAAAAGGATTTCAACCGCCATAACTAATGCCGCTGGGACTTGGACAGAGACAAACCCAAACTTTGTTGAGCCAAATATTGGTCGTCGAATGAAACGTGTCTCGAATGTGCGTTATTTATTTTTTAATGCATACTTCATAAGTCCTTTAGGCGTTTTTTACGGCCGCGGACCAACGTTAAGCGCAAAATTTTATTACACTTGGAAAATATCAATATTGAAACGAACAATACTGCGCGACGGGCGTATCATTAACTTCACTCGAAAAAGTCCGCGTAATAAAGACGGAAACCGCCTTAGCTTATTTATGTTGGCAATGAAGTTTATAAAGCAAATTTGATTTAGCACCAATTTTATCCGTGTTACAGTTACGACACGAGGGGACCCTACAAAACCACGCCGAAGCACTGGCAGGATAGCAATTTGGGCCAGCGAGCCTTTTTCAGGACAATGACAGATCCTGCCACGCTCAACATAGACAACATCGGCGAAAAGGACGAAGGGGAGTATCGATGCCGCATCGATTATTTACGATCACCGACGAAGAACTTGAGAGTAAAGCTGGCAGTTATAGGTGAGTAGGGAGCATCAATGCTTAGTTATTTTGCAATTTTCGGTACAATATCAAGATACGTGCAAATTTCGTTGCCTTATGAATACTGCAACACAGGAGCTTACATAAATTGTTATTTCCGTTGAGAAGGGGAGCGGCCCCATTTTTTCATTGGCAATTTTTGGTGTCGCTATATACTATCCAGAAAAGAGTAGAGAATGACTCTTTCGCAAGAATCAGTAAATAAGAAACCCGATGAGTGACAGAATTGTACATACGTATATAGTATAACAAACTTTTAATAAAATTAACAATTTTACTTGTATTCTCGTATTAGCATCACGCAATTGTACCTAGGTGTCGATTTCTCACACAAAAGTAGCATGTTGATCAGGCTGTTATGAATGAAATGAGACTCATGAAATTACAAATTTGGTAACAAATGTTTTACGAATTTTTATTTTCGTGAAAATAATTTACTGATCTTTAAACAAGACCTCAGTAATAAAAATCAGAATGCCACTCTTAATAATAACAGCAGCTTTTATGATGCTTTTAAGAACTTTTGTACTTTACCACTTGAATACCATTTTACATTATGAAAACGTATTGAAAAAAATAATTGAAGGATAAATGTGTTTGCGAAAACTTTTAACAATTAAGATAACCTGAAAAATTTATATATTTTGAAAAAAAAAACTATGTTGTGTGCGTTAAGTATATTATTTATTTACTCTTTTGATACCTTTGTTAAACCTCTTTAAATCACCTGATTTTGCTAAAGCTTTCGACCGGGTAAGTCGCAGATTGCTAATTATGAACTTGCAAAAATTTAAAAGGCTTTAAAAATCTAACAATTAAGTAGTTATCGTCTTTTCTATAGAGTAGGATGCAACAAGTGCGATTGGGGATTTATATTTCTTCCTTTTTTAATGTTCCCTCGAGTGTACCACAAGGCCCTGTGACCCCATGCATTTTTTATTATTTGCGAATTATGTGACTCGATGCTTTCAATATTCGAGTTACTTATTATTATATGCATATAACGTGAAGCTTTTTTTGTTTACGATGCAATGTAACTCCAGTTTGACCTAGATTCACTTTTCAAGTGGTGCGACGGCAACTGGATGGCCTTAAATATTAAAAATGTTATGTCGCATAATTACTGAATTTACATTCTCAGAATGAATTTTACCATCGATTACAGTTACTGAAATAAACTATTTGGTTGTCATACTAAATAATATAATAAAATAAAATACCACCTAATTGCACCGGTCAGTGCTTAGCGCGTCTTTATCTAACCTATACCTAACGCGTCTCCTTCTTCCGGAATCCCCTAGATTTTCACGAAGCAGTCCAACACGGTCTCTTTACTCAGAAAGGGCGGCGACGCAATGGCTAGTCGACCTTCGTCCAAACTCCCAAAAAACCCTTCCACACCAAGAGCGCAAAAACCTCCAAAACCAAGGACGACGAAACGATGAGAGAGAAAATGGCGAAACGGAAAAAGAGGAAGCACAAATAAATAAAGACAAAAATAAAAAGGCCTCTGATGGTGTGCGGTCTTAAAATGGGTTTGCAGGGTCACAAAAAAACCACAAGATATACGTCCGCGTTCCCAAATGCGGTAGCCTTAATTCGTCCCTGACACAACTAGTCAAAATAAGGGTTCTACCTCCAAAAATGGCCCCTTCGCACTGGATAAACCCTAAAAACACTCGCACCACTCGATGCCGATTACTCGAAAAGTCAAAATGGAGTCTCATTCTTTCTTTTTCCTTTCTCTTTGGCATGCGTGGTCCGAAATAACCAAAACAAAGGCATCCAATATCGTATCACGTTTTAAGACTTACGGAAACGTATTGTATTGGCTCGGAATAGTTATGGAGGCTGACATTTTTTATTACCTGTCTGAGGAAGCTGTTTTAGTCGTAGTAGAAAAATATTTATTCACAATTAGTCACATACAGCTTTTCTGACCTCTGAAAGGTCAGAAAGTCAGCGATTCCATAATGCATTTTTCAACGAGCCGGAAAAGCCTGAAAGCGGTCAGTAATGATGTCGATTCGAACTTTGAATGTCAAATTATCAAATGAAAGTCATGATTATATTGATAACTGAATCACACAATTGACATATGCCGTTGCTAAAAGTCTTGTGCGGCATTCTGTGCGGCTGATGGTTAATTTTCTGCAGATTGTCACAACTCTGGAGGAGTAAATTCTCTTTCACTCTCAGACATTTTATTTGTTAAAAAACTGAGAAAATGCACGTTTGATTACAAATTTGGTATGATTTTTACTTCCCGAGCGTAAGCAAAGGAAGTATTGTAATCGAATCCGTCGGCCGACTCTCTACTTTTACGTTTTCTCGATTTTTGATGACCCCTAGAGGACGAAGGAATAGATCTCCCTGTCTGTCCGTCTGTCCCTCTATCCGTCTGTCCGTTTGTCCATCTGTCCGTCTGTCCGTCGGTCCGTCGGTCCGCCTGTCTGTCTGCCGTCCCGGATTTTTGTTAGACAGATAATCTCCTAAAGTACTGGACCGATTATTGTGAAATTTTGTATCTATATTAGGAGTATCATGTAGATGGTAAAACGCAAACCAAAATTTGTCTAATCATCCCCACCAAAAATGTAAATTTACATTGTAACATTATTATTAAGAATACAGCAGGTAATGAAGAAAACATGAATATATTTTCAGGTTGAGATTAATGTCAAGTTGGAACGACATCCATTTGGTGTTAATTAATTTTATCGCCCAAATTCTTTAGAGAAGTGATTCTCAGCCTGCGGGCATGACGAAAGTGGAAATCAGAGAAAGAAAAGTTCTACTTTAAAACACTAGTGTGAAAATAAACTAACTTTACCCATTAGTACGAAAAAGTAATAGGTGTAAGAATAATGGATATTTTCTTCAAAACATATATATAAACTGTATATATTTACAGTGAAGTCACTCATATTTCATTTCGAGGATAAATAACTTTGAAAAAAAGAACCAACACAACAGACACAGATATAAGTTCCAACAGTATTCACCTAAATCCAAGACTGTTAGACACACGGGAGGAAGATCTAGCAGAAGAAATAAAAAACGTCTAAATCAACATCAACTGCTCCAGGGCTTGTGCAGTTCATCAATTCGAAAATGGTAATCCTAACAGCTACAAGAATTATCTAAAGCCTTTTAGAGCGTGCGTGCGCTTGATTAAAAAATCCGAGCAGCGACCACCCAGGGAAATCCCCAGGTTAATCTTGTAATTGTAGTTTATTGTCTTTTTGGGTTACAATTTAGGTATGTCTTTCTAAATATGTATCTAGCTTGAGTATTTATATTACTATAAAGCCTTTGCTCTTAGTCCAGACAGTTTCCCTGATCCCTCTATGATTTTGGGGAGCAGAAGTTTTGGGTTTAAAAATTTTTTTGGCGTCTTCGTTTTTCTAGCAATTGTTCTTTGAGGTTCTTCCATAAACCCGGATCTTCCTGGATGATGGGTTCCAAAATTGTGACGGTTATTAGTAAAGATGGGTCCAAAAATCTGAAAGAGTCAAGATGTTAGTAAAATTAACAACAAATTAAATGTAAATTCTGTGGCAGACAGATCGACAGACAGACAGACAGACAGATGGAAACGGGAGACTTATTTCTTCGTACTCTAGCAGTCATGAAAAGTCAAGAAAATGTAAAAGTAGAGAGTCGGCCGACGGACTTGATTACAATAATGTGTTGATAAATTTTACTAAGTAGACCATCATGGCAGGGCAATGAATGTCTTGTACCATTTAGTGTTGTTCAACCTAAAGGTCGATTTATAAATTTGTCGCTGACGTTGCTGTTGTAAGATAAATACGCAGCGAAGGTATGCGTCGTTTACATCATCCGTTGACGTTGCCGTTGAAAGTTGGCACGCCGTTGGGGTGACGTTCGAGATGACATTGCGTTACGTTGCGGCTGACGCTGGGTTTTCAACCAATCAAATTGCGGTAGTGTGCAATGCTGCCAACTCGAAGGAAAATTCCCTGAAGAAGGGGGTGCATTTTTGTGATTGACAGCACTAATTCCACGAAAATAAAATTTTGATAAAGATAATGAGGTCCACTAATAGTAAGCCATTTAATCACCTGTTCACCAAAACCCTCGTATTTTAAAAAGCTGCCATCATTTTCCACACTGTAACTTTCTCTCAGTACTTATGCATTGTTAAAAATAGTTCTCGACGTTTAAGTCAACAAGATTTGTTGCCATTCGTCACAAAAACAGATTATAACAGTATTAATACTACAACGCCTTACATTTTGGCCTTTTTTTCTTAATATGTGTAGTCTTCTTTTCACAACAAGAAAGGTAAAACATGTTTATTAAAATGGTAAATTTGTATAGGGAAATATCGATTTTACAATTACGCTCCGCCCCTTGCTCTGACAACCAATGAAAAATTCATCACAAATGAACTTGAGATGGACATGGCTGGGGCTTAATTTTTGGCTTATTTTTTTTTCCTAAAATACATACTATTCTTTCAACAATAGAATATTAATAAACATGCTTTTTTAATTCTTGAAAGAAGGATTTTGCAATTAAGCTTCTCCCCTTGGCTTACGACGAATAAAAAAAAGTCATCGCAATTGAGATAGGGCGGGTGGGCGGGGCTTATATTTTGCCTTTTTTCTTAATATGTCACAACAAGAAACTTAAAACATGTTTAAAATGGCAAATTTGTATATGGAAATATGGATTTTGCAGTTACGCTCCGCCCCTCGGTGTGACAACGAATGAAAAATTCATCACGGTTGAGATCGAAACGAATGAGTGGGGCATCTCTTTTGTTTTTTTTTTTTTAATTCACGCATTTAGTTTTCTTTGTATAACGTATAACACGATTACTTAAGAACATATTTCACATGGTAATTTCTCGTAGAAAAATAAGAATTTTACAATTAAGCTCCGCACCTCGGCTTACGACAAAAAAAAAATCATCAGAATTGAGATAGGGGAGGTGGGTGGGGTTAATT